CTGCTGAGGCCCACTGGGGTTCAAGGAGACAGAAGCAGACATAGAAAAAGAAGCATAGATACAAAAAGCAACTTTCAACCAGCTCCACAGGCGGCCCCGTCCAGGAAACACACAGCCAGGCAGACGAGCTCCGAGCCAGCTCCCATGTCAGAGGATGAAGAGAGCACATCCAGTTAGTCACAGTCAGAGAAACAGGACTACACTGGAAAACAGGCCAAGCTCCAACATCTAGAAACAAAGGTGTTGATGGCAGCAGCACAGCTGATATTTCTCTCCAGGATGGAGTCACAGCCAAACAGGAACAGACCAGATGAAGCTACTATGAGAAAAAGCAGAGAGAGCAGAACGTTAGAGATTGAACTAACAGATTCTGCAGAGTGGGAGAATAGAGATAGAATGAAGCAGAATGATGAAAAAGGGGTCCCTATGTCCTCCAGCAGTCTAAGCCTATAGCAGCAGAACTATAGAGATAGCTCAGGATAACCTGAGCCACTCTAACTAGAAGCTTTATCAAAAAGGAAAGTTTTAAGCCTAGCCTTAAAAGTAGACAGGGTGTCTGCCTCACGGACTAAAACTGGTAGTTGGTTCCACAGGAGAGGAGCCTGATAGGTCTAAGAGCTAGAGGAGAATTAGAAAGGGTGTCTGCCTTAAGCAATTGTTCTGGTTCAGATATACTAATATTACATTTCTAAGCCACAACAAACTAACGATAGTCAAGTTTCACCTAATTAATTAAATAAAATCAAAACTCTAAACAGGGTAAATAGATAAGTTTATAAGATTAACTTAAATTTTGGCATTCTTTTCAAACAACCATCTGAAACAAGTGTTTCCTTTTCAAGTATTCACATATAAAAATAAATAATTCAATTTTAGAGTCATTCATCATTTTAGTGGAGCTGTAAGGTGAGGCAGATAAAGCAACCTGAGGGGCAGAGGGAGAAGCTGTGAGAAGGTGAACTCTAGTGCAGGTGGCTAGCAGTTAGGTCTTGATATCTCGTTCAGAAAACGCCTATTTTATTGAAGTTTAAATATAGAAAATGTGTTAGATCTCAGCCATCCAGCTCAATAAAAGCCCCTCATGGCTGTAATCAGCATTCACAGCCTTAGCAGTTCCTCCCTTCTACTCCTTTGAAAGCAAATTTAATTTCCTGCTCTGTATTTCAAAGCTTTCCATAAGTGGCGCCCTCTTTTTATTTCATTTTCAACCTCTTGACACAATCTCTAATTCAAACATGTGTTCGCCCCACCGGAGGCTCTGGTGACTTGTCAGGGAGAGTTTGTTAAAGCGTTTCATTTGAAAGTTCTCCAGTAAGGAGGAGAGGTGGGAATTAATAAACCCTCCCCAACGAGGAGCAGCATGTTATCTTGGTTTCAGAAAATTGCTGGAGATGTGAGGCCAGGAAGGTATCCCCCCCCCCCCCCAGCTTGTGATCAACGCTGCCATCTGGTGGTGTGTGAGGGTTTTTCATGATTGAGAATTGTTTTAATCCCTCTTTTTGTCTCTTTTCAGTTGAGAACATTGCACATTGTGAGTTTGCCTACCTGCGGGATCTCCTCATCAGGTGGGAATCCGTCTCAGCTAAGATTTTAACAAATCCTTTTTCAGGGTTTACATCTCCAGGCAGGTCGGCCATTGTGGCATATTCTGCAGCTGGGCTAAATTAATTGTAAGCTCTGCTGAATCGATAAAGCTTTACTTCCCAGAAAAAAATCAATAGAAATTATATTTTCTAGAATGTGTTGAGTGTTTGCTAATATAGAGCTACATCTCAGGGTTTGTTCATGAATCTGTTATCTCAGGTTCCTGTCTGCTGCATTTAGTGATGTGAGTGACGGAGCGCCGTTACCATGAACTCATAGTCAGCAAGAACCTTTATTCTATTGTGGCTTTAATGATGTATTTCAGTTTTTTCTTTTTTTTAGGTTGAGTTGAGTTGTTAAAAAATGTATTTAAAGCTACAAATTTCAGCAGAAATTTTTAATTTAAATGAAAATATTGGCGGCTCAGTGACACAGGTAGAACTGCTGCTTTGCAGCAAGAAGGTTCCGGGTTTGATTCCCGGCCCGGGGTCTTTCTGCATGGAGTTTGCATGTTCTCCCTGAGCATGCGTGGGTTCTCTCCGGGTACTCCGGTTTCCTCCCACAGTCCAACAACATGACTGTTAGGTTAATTGGCTTCTCTAGATTCTCCTTCGGTGTGAGTGTGAATGGTTGTTTGTCCTGTTTGTCTCTGTGTTGTACTTTGCTGATGTTGCGACTTTTTTCTTGTAACATCAAAGTTGTTGAAAGTTGTGATACTGCTATTAAATTGATGCTGATGCTAAAAGACTTAATATTTCCTTATTGGTGAAACTGAGTATAACTTCACAAGATCCTCTACATTCCTCATTTCAGGGAAGACAGTGCTTCTTGTAAGAGTTGTCGTAAAATACTTTATTAACTTTATTGTCGTAATGTTACGACTTTATTCTCGTAAGTTTACGCCTTTATTCTCGTAATGTTACAACTTTATTCTCCTAAGTTTACGCCTTTATTATCGTAATGTTACGACTTTATTCTCGTAAGTTTACACCTTTATTATCGTAAGTTTACGCCTTTATTATCGTAAGTTTACGCCTTTATTATCATAATGTTACGACTTTATTCTCGTAAGTTTACGCCTTTATTATCGTAAGTTTACGCCTTTATTATCATAATGTTACGACTTTATTCTCCTAAGTTTACGCCTTTATTATCTTAATGTTACGACTTTATTCTCGTAAGTTTACACCTTTATTATCGTAAGTTTACGCCTTTATTATCGTAAGTTTACGCCTTTATTATCATAATGTTACGACTTTATTCTCGTAAGTTTACGCCTTTATTATCGTAAGTTTACGCCTTTATTATCATAATGTTACGACTTTATTCTCCTAAGTTTACGCCTTTATTATCGTAATGTTACGACTTTATTCTCGTAAGTTTACACCTTTATTATCGTAAGTTTACGCCTTTATTATCGTAAGTTTACGCCTTTATTATCATAATGTTACGACTTTATTCTCGTAAGTTTACGCCTTTATTATCGTAAGTTTACGCCTTTATTATCGTAATGTTACGACTTTATTCTCGTAAGTTTATGCCTTTATTATAGTAATGTTACAACTTTGTTCTAGTAAATTAAGACTTTATTCTTGTAATGTTATTTTCAAATTTAAAAAAAAAGAATAAAATCTCACACCTGGCGCTAATACACCATCCTAATATTGTGATATAATGATGTAAATTATTGTCCAGTCCTAGTCTTCATATTATCTGTATGATTGATTGATTGATTGATTGATTGATTTATACCATGCGGATGGAGTCTCCATTCAATATTTTTAAGGTGATTCAAAGTGTTGCTGTTCAAATGTATTAAAAGCCCAACAAGACCTTTGTAACCATGACGATTGGACGTAAACCGATCACAACAAAAACAAAGACGTCCTCGTACTGATGCGACATCTCCTCCTCCACAGGACTCACATGCAGAACATCAAGGACATCACAGGGAGCATTCACTACGAGACGTATCGCGTCCGTCGGCTAAACGAGTCCAACGGCCACGTCGTCTCCGAACCGCCTGACCACGCGCCGATTCAGCCCAAGGCTCAGCTGGAGGAGCAGCCTGGCCCCCCGCAGACCAACGGCCTGGCTGCTCAACATGAAGCCCTGTCCCATGAGATGTAGAGGTCAACGGTGGCACCGGGTTTTAACATCAGACACACTCAGACACGCTCCGTTTACATGAACATCTCCAAATTTATACAAAACCCAGAACTTTCATTTTCTTCCTCTCTTGGTTTCTTTCTTCCTTCCATCGCTGTTCTGAGATAAAACTCTTTGATTCGACACATCGTCACTTCAAAATTACCCATCATGAAAGTAATAGTTTGAGTCTTGGGTGTTAGATCCGTGGTGCTGCTGAAGGTGAAATCCTTTCAGGACCTCAGTTGAAACAAGAATCCTTTTAAAAATGAAGTACAGCATGAACGCCCTGCGACCCACAAACATTTCCGTGCCACTTGCCTGGTCTGTTTTGTGCTGTGGTGTATAGTAATGTATAGTTACTGAGGTTAATTAGGGCTAGGTTAGGATAGAACGGACACCCCCGCACTGTGAAACCAATCCTACATGCAGCAGGAGTGCGGAGCAGCTCTTTCTGTTGCGTAGGACCTTCTGAATTCCTCTTCTTTCCCAGACCAATTCCACTAGTGTCGTTTCATTCAACCGTGCATCATTTTGCATTGCTTGTTTACTGTTGTATTTTTAAGCCTTATGTTCTAATATTAATTGTATAAGATAAGGTGCAACCATTTGTCCAATGCAGCCTTTTCCTATGTTGCTCTGCCAAATGTTTTCTGTTGTTGGAAAGAGAAGCACATACAGCATATAGAGCTGATTTATGAGTAGCTATTTATCTGTTGTTTGATGTCATGCTTATAACTTAACTCCACCTGTAAGCTTCCCGAAGTTAGTAGCCGGCCATAAATAGTAGATAACCGTAGCTTTTAAACTGTTGTCACCAATGTGTTTCCCATCGCATGTCTCTCATATTTGCCAGACTGTCCATCCTGAAATCAGTCAGTAAGTGGAAAAATTTCACTTTTTTTTTTTTTTTTGTTTCATCCATGACAAAAAAGAAAAAAATGTGCCTATAAAATTTTACAGTAATTGATTAATTTGATGCAAACATGTTTCAACTGCATCTAAAATGTATTTTTGATGACTTTTATTCTAAGGGATTTTTTCTGGGCCAAATTAACCTGCCGTCGCTCAGTCAGCTTTGTAAGACGGAGCAGAAATATTTTCCGTAATAAATGCAAACAGAAATATTTTATCTTAAGAAAAAGTAACTAAATTACTCTTTGTTTACTGTTGTATAGTTCTTGTGTAATTTGTCATGCTATTTCAGATTGAGGTTTTATCTTTGATATGTTAGCTCAAAGAATAAAGATCGATATTTTTACTGTTGATTTGTGGTGAAGTTATTGAATTTTCTGCTTGTGAACTCAAGCATCAATGTGCTGCTTGATCTGTCCTTGATTCCCTATCATGGGGATGAGACGTTACATACGGAAGAGGATTAGGGCCACTGAAAAAAAAAAAAAAGTTAACTGATTTTTAAATTTTATTTCAGTTTAGTATTCTGACTTTTTTTTTCCTCCGAATTCTTACATTAATCTCAGAATTCTGACTTTTATCTCAGAATTCTGACTTTTTTTCTCAAAATTCTGACTTTAATCTCAGAATTCTGACTTTAATCTAAGAATTCTGACTTTTTTTCTCTGAATTCTGACTTTTTTCTCAAAATTCTGACTTTTTTCTCAAAATTCTGACTTTAATCTCAGAATTCTGACTTTAATCTCAGAATTCTGACTTTAATCTCAGAATTCTGACTTTAATCTCAGAATTCTGACTTTTTTTTCTCAGAATTCTGACTTTAATCTCAGAATTCTGACTTTAATCTCAGAATTCTGACTTTTTTTCTCAGAATTCTGACTTTAATCTCAGAATTCTGACTTTTTTTCTCAGAATTCTGACAGCTAACAAACATGTTAGCATCAAGCCATAGCCATGTCTGTTTTAGAGACTAGCTCTCTTGTTTTAATGACCTTCTGCTCCTCCATTAATGAGGCGACCCCTCAGGCACGTAAAAAGTTGCCTAATTCCGTAATTTTCCACCAATGTGTCACTGGCCACCTCAAACAACTCACATCTTTGTCAGGGAAGCTGAGTGCTCCATATCTCTACCTTCATGGTGCCCATCTACATTAGGATCCAAAATTCTGGGGAAAAAAGTCAGAATTCTGACTTTTTTTCCATAGTAAATTGAAATCAAATTTTAATCTCCCATCTCACCTTAGAGTTCAACCGCCGCAGCCAGCCTGCGTTCAATCACACCCAGCATATGGCTCAGCTCCCGGCCCTCCTCGTCCACAGCCTTTGTAAGCGCGTTAACCGCTGGAGGCAACCTGATCGATGCCCAAATTGCCACCAACATCCTCTGTGTTTGTAGATACATCAGGTATCCTCCAAATCCGAACTCCAGAAAGCAGAGTATCATAAAGTTCCTTATCAAGAAAAAAGCTTTTAATTTAAATGTATCCTACCTAACATCTGTCCTTTATAGGCAGTTTATTTACAATAAACATATTTTATAAAGGCATATTTATTTTTGTCACACTGACAGCCCAAACACGTCTGGGAGAAACTGCATCACCATAACCAGCTCAGACCGCTTCAATGGAGCCTTTTATAATCGCCTCCTGTCAAACCCTCAGCGACCCTGCTGACCCTAACATGTTGACAGTTAGCCGCGCCTCCAAGGTCGACGCCTACGGCTGACAAATTGAAGCTCCTGCTGTATTTCGAATCTCTGTTCAGTTGTCTCCTTGTGAAGAGAGCAACAGCGTTACGGTGACAAATGACAAATCTGAAGGTGAGATGCAAAAAGAAAAAACTTGCAGGAAGATTAGCAGCCAGAGAAAACTCCACTGACACTGCAGCATGTATATTTAAAGAGCTTCCAAGGCTGCGGATCTAAGCATGAAGGGGAGCCTGTTTGGCACTGACAGCGTTATGACGGTGTTAGATCCATGGCTTCCAGCGTACCTGACACATCTGGAAGGAATATGACATCTAACCTGTCTTAGTGGTGCAGCATGGAGCTCTGAATAAAAAGGTTACCAAAGAGTAAAATAGAGGCTGCTGGGAGATTTGACATCATGTGACTCAGAAACTAACAGTAAGATGGTTCCAGGTTTTTAGACTGGAGCGAGGAGTCAGCGAGTTAGAGAAACAGTCATGTTCAGCTTTTCAACATCGTTAGCACTGATCCATCAGCCTTAATTAGCCCCATTTCAGACTTAGACAACTTTATTGTCATTTTGTTTGCACAGTGCGTATACAGAACGAAGTATCGTTTTTTTTTTTTTTTTACAGCTTTCAGACAGTAAATGAGCAGCAGCTGAGCAGTGAAAGGTACATTTCCATTTCATAAAGTGCAGCAGTGATCGAACGTTAACAGCATTGACGAAAAATGTAAATCAGAATAAGTCTTTTTTTTCTTAAAATAAGTGCATTTTTATTCTTGAATTGAGGAGGAAAGTTAGACACTTTGCCAATGAAAGAAGGCAATTTAGATTTAAAATAAGAAAAATCATTTGCATTATCTCATTTCAAGTGCATATTATCTAATTATCTTATTTTAAGAGTAAAAATCCTCATTCCATCATCTTATTTAATTTAAGACACTTTTACTAATTTCTCGATCATTTTTGCGGTGAGTGTGGGAGAAAAAGGTGGAAAAGGCATTAATGTGGAAGTCCAGAGCAGTGCAACAACAAGCAAATATATTTGGTGCATAAATAGAGTAGAAAAATATTTTTAAATTAAGTTCTATTCGGTACGATATTATTGAGATGCAGAGATGGGAAGTAACGAAGTACAAATACTTAGTTCCTGTACTCAAGCAGATTTTTCTGATATTTTTTCTTTACTTTACTACTTATTTTTATGGTGACTTTTTACTTCTACTCCTTACATTTTAAAAAATTGGCTCGTTACTTTAGTTTTGAATCATTTCAATGGAGTTACCGTTATTATTTTTCACGTCATCAATACCAAATTCAATCTAATTGGATGGGAATCTACGTCGCATTTGACGCACCACTACAAGATGAATCGACAGATTCGGCGGTATTCATTGGCGGCAAATCATTGCAGCTTGGTGGCGGTGGCGTTAGCAGAGTAGCATGGACGACGAGATGATTGAAAATGAACACAACGGAGATCTAGTCCTATTGGCAGACATCCATTTAAAATGTAGGCAACGGCATGAAAAAAGTGGTTTCTACTTTTACTTTTATACTTTAAGTAAATTTACAAGCCTGTACTTTGTTACTTTTACTTGAGTAAAGAAGTTTAATCAGTACTTCCACTTTTACCAGAGTATTTTTTAACACAAGTATCTGTACTTTTACTGCTGAGATGCAGAGTCTTGATTTGTGACTTTAGAGGTTTTTTTTCTCCATGCAGTATAGGTAGCAGTGATAGAGATTGAACTTAAAAAAGTCAACAAGGTAAGTCGTCTTGCTATCAGTGTATCAACCCTCCAGACCACTCAGGTCTTCTGGCTCCAGCCTGCTCTGCAGACCTAGAACCAGAACTAAACATGGAGAAGCAGCATTTAGTTCCTATGCTCCACTTATCTGGAACAAACTTCCAGAAAACTGTAAAAGTGCGGAAAGCCTGAGTTCCTTTAAATCAAGACTAAAAACACATTTATTTAGGATTGCCTTCCACTGTTCTAGTTAAACAGTTCAACTAAAACATATTTTCTTTAATCCAACTGTTTTTAATATTCTTTTTTTTTTGTTTCTGCATTTTTTATTTTATTTTATTTATTTTTTATTTTTTCCTACTTGCTTTGATTCTGTTTTATCTTCCTGTATTTTAATCATGTAAAGCACTTTGCATTGTCTTTGTACTGAATTGTGCTATGCAAATAAATTTGCCTTGCCTTGCCTTGTCCCAGCAGATTGATCTTTACCTGAAACACAATCAAGTCAAAAGGGAGGCGAGGAGGAAGAAGATGACTAACTCTTGATTTAAACTTGGGTTTGGAAATAACGGTCATATTTAGAATTCATACTTTTGAAAGTACTTTAAATATGAAATTATTACAACTGTTCAATAAATGATCAGTGTTTTTAATTCAGACTAATTTTCATTTGAATGTGCTTTACTGGAGGCATCCATGTTTGTCAAAGAACACTACTGCCACCTACTGTTACTGCTGAAGATGGCAGGAGGGAGGGGTTACTATATTTGGGCAAAAATGGCCGCTTTTTCACTCTATATTCTTAACATTTTAAGTCTGGGACTATTTAAGATCTTTTAGTTGTTATGCAAAATATACATCTCTTAAGTTTAGAAACAAAGTGTGTTTCTAATTTAGCATTAAAGGAAAAGTCAGCAGGAATAATCAATGGATCATTATTTATACCTAAAACTAATATGTTTTTAGTGATTTAATGAATTTAGCGTTAATCCGTAAAAAAATGAAAACTAATTTGCATCACGATCACTGAGTCTGGGAGCGGCCATTTTTGCCCAAATATAGTAAGCCATCTTCCACACTGCAAAAAATTAGATCTAAATAAGTAATTTTTTCTTAAAATAAGTGCATTTTTCCTTGAATTGAGGAGATAAGTGAGACAATTTGCCAATGGAACAAGACATTTTACATGTAAAATAAGAAAAAACAACAGCATTGTCTTATTTGAAGTGCAAATTATCTAATTATCTTATTCTAAGAATAAAAATACTAATTCCACAGGTAAATCATCTTATTTATCTGCTCAAATTAAGGGTAAATACACTTAATTTAAGAAATATTGACTTATTTCTAGATTGTTTTTGCACTCCAGCAGTGACGTCACGGTGCGGTAAGCCTAGCGCCATTCTCCCCGCTTTCCAAGCTAAATCAATGGGAACTACTAGACACATCTGCAATCAACAACAATTATTGAAGATTTCCAGAGGACTTCACCATTGAAATTCACCAGAGCTATAGTGAAACTGACAATGCCCACGTGCATGGCAGCTGGATGCTGGAATACATCGGGGAAAAGTGAAAAAAAGAGTTATTCCACCTTTCTGATTCCTGATCCTCCACGGACGGGTCGGTCGTTGGATCGCCAACTTGAAGAGGGAGGATTTGCCATCGAACTTCTGGCCAGAGAAAAAACCCGTAATATGTAGCCAACATTTGGAAGAAGAATGTTTTCTAGATGACTTGGATAATAGCGCGTTGTGACAAACACCAGATACAGCACTGGGACTTGATCAACAGCCGATACCGCACCGTGACGTCACTAACCAGTAGGTGGCAGTAGTGTTCTTTGACAAACATGGATGCCTCCAGTAAAGCACATTCACATGAAAATTACTCTGAATTAAAAACACTGAT